ACAATTTGGAATCCATTGTTCACATCAATAAGTGGGTGAGAAATCCATGTACAAAATAGTTTCAGAGAGCAAGAATTCAGAAATTTTTTTCCAGCTGAATTGAGATGTAATAGACATAGAACATTGTGTACATTAGAGGTGTACAAACTGTTAATTTGATACACTTATATATTGCAAAATAATTAACACCATAGAGTTAGCTAACTAACACCTGCATCATGTCACATAATTACCATTTCTTTTTTGTGGTGAGAACACTTAAGAACTCTCTTAGCAACTCAGAGATTTTCTTTTGCTGAGTTGATAACCATTTCCAAAATCTTCCACCTGGACTCACCCAACTGTAGGGGAGTGTTACCACGTGAAGGGCATAATCTGCTTGCCACAAGACAAAAGCCTATCATCAAGAGGAAAGATGGTGGCAGAGAAAGGGCATTTATTAGACAATAAACTAGTGAATCAGAAGATAGGGGACTAGGGTCCCAAGGAATTATCTTAAGGGGGGCACAGAATCTTGAAGCAGTTATATAGGCCAATGGGTTATAAGGGAGGGGTTAGGAACGTTGACCCTCTGGTGTTACAGACTGGGAGTCACTACACCAGATCTTTCAGTTGTCATTGATGATGGCTATCAGCATAGACTCTGTCCAGGAGTCATCACATTCCTAAGGAACTCAAAAGAACAATGTTATTGACTTATTGCAGCTGGGAGGTACATGCACAAGCAGGGGCCATAAAATCTAGAGAGCATGTATATCTCCTGGAAGGTACATATCCAGCTGGGTTAGTTAATCATAGGTTATTCAAAGTTACAATATAGTTTCTTTTACACAACATGGCTTCCCTTATATCAACCTTGTGTTGAGCCCGTATCAGGAGGAAGAAAATTTCTCTACCCTCTAGGTCCTTCCGGCTGGTCCAAGAATTTAATTGACGTGAGACAGAATAACAGGAGAAAATCAAACAAAGTTTATAACATGTATACATGGGAGAAACCCAGGAAACCTGAGTAACTAACCAGAATGGCCAAAGTCACCACCTTAAATATCATCTTCAGCTAACGACAAATGAGGATCTTGGGGGTAGTGATTTGGGACTTCAGAGGGCAGGAAGACAATTTACAAGGAAATGGAAATGCAAATGTTTGTTAAACAAGTTTTTGCTGGGCCATCTATAGACAATGTGACCTGAAACACACATTTTACACTACACTATAGTTATGTTATGGTATGAGCTCCTTCCTATGGTATTAGCTCCTTCAAGGAACAGACTTTCTATCTTAAATTCTTTTAGGCAGTTAGAGGAAAGGTCAAATTTTCTTTCAGAGTCTTTTGTTCTTAAAAAGTAATCAAGGTAAAAAGATACATTTTGGGGTGGCCAATTCTGATCCCACACACAATGTATTATCTCTCAGTGTATGTCTTGTCATTTTTTCCTAGGAAAAAAGAAACATGGATTTAAGACCCTTTACTACCCTGAACACTCCTCTGATCACTAGCATTAGTGGTTCCCAATCTGGCTGAGCACCAGGATTGCTTGTGGGCTTCTTACAAAATACACCAGCCTCTCCCCAGATCTAGTATCTCAGAATATTAGGCACAGAGCCCAAGAATCACTTATTTAACAAGCCCTACCCCTGAGGCTGATGCACAGCCATGTGAGAATCCAGGTCTACGTTCGTGCTACTAAATGTGTGACCTAAAGACCAGCAGCATCAGCACCAAACTGGTTATAAATGCAGATTCTCACACTCTATCCTAGACTGTCTATATCTTAATGAGATGTCCAAGGGATTCCTGTGCACACAAAAGTTTGGGACTCACTGGTCTTCATGGCTTCCAGATGAGGTTTCAGAACTGTGCAGTTGGCTCTGGGAGTGTGGTCTGATCAGATCACCTAGCACTGTAAGGTCCAGGATTCAGTCTTTGTTCCTTTCTCTTCTATAGTCATCACTTCCTTGGTGACTTCATCCGTTCTGAAGGCTTTAAATATCATTTATATAGTGTTTGTATTGTCCCAAATAGATTTCTCCAGTTAAGACATTTCTCCTAAATTCTAGACTTGCATATCCAACTGCTAAAACTAACCTCACTTGCATCTCATAGATGTCTCTCTGTTTCAACTTTATTAATTGGATGTCTATGATGCTGTCTCCTCAAATGTTTCTTCTAGAATCCTCTCCATTTTCACTGAAGGCACTCCACATTTCTACTTGCACAGTCTGAAATTTGGGGTGTCCTCTTTGATTCCTCTTTCTCATAACCCAGATTTAATCCATAAAGCCCATCTTCAAAATATATCCAGAATCCAATCACTTCCTATTATTTACCCTGCTCACACCCCAGACAAAGCAAGCAACATCTCTAGCCTAGAACACGGCACTAGTTTCCTACAGTTTTCTCTACTGGCTGCTCGCTCTTCAACTCTTGATTCTGCACAGCAGCAGACTGATGCTTCTAAAGAGAAGTCACACTAGATTGATCTTTTGTTCAAAACTGTCTCGCAACTCCACACCTTACTTAGAGAAAAGTCAAAACCTTCCAATATCCTCAAGGCTTACATACCTGGGTGAGACCTCATCTCTCATCTCAATTACTCTCCGCTCCAGCCACACTGGTCCCCTTATCTTTCTTTAACACACACGCTCCTGCCCTAGTGCATTTGCGCTGGAGGTTCCCATCCCTGGATACAACTTCCCCCAGACATCCTCATGGACAATTCCTTCATGTCCTTCAAGTCTTTACTCAAGGTCACCTTCCCAATGAGGCCCTCACTGACCACCCTAGTAAAACAGCCATCTTCCCTGTCCCCACACACTTATACCCTGGGTCACCTTCCTGAAAACACAACTTCTAACATAAACACTTCCCTTATTTACTATGCTTATAGCGTACAGTCTGCCCCTCACCA